GAATATGAACAGTAGTATGAATATGAACAGTAGTATGAATATGAACAATAATATGAATATGAACAGTAGTTGGAATACAAACAGTAGCTTGAATATGAATATGAACAGTAGTTTGAATATTAACAGTAGTATGAATATGAACAATAATATGAATATGAACAGTGGTATGAATATAAACAGTAGTATGAATATAAACAGTAGTATGAATATGAACAGTAGTATGAATATGAACAGTAGTATGAATATGAACAGTAGTCCGAATATGAACAATAATATGAATATGAACAGTAGTTTGAATATTAACAGTAGTATGAATATGAACAATAATATGAATATGAATAGTGGTATGAATATAAACAGTAGTATGAATATAAACAGTAGTATGAATATGAACAGTAGTATGAATATGAACAGTAGTATGAATATGAACAATAATATGAATATGAACAATAATATGAAGATGAACAGTAGTTTGAATATTAACAGTAGTGCATAGTAGTATAAGGACGCTTTCTTAAAAGAGTGGGAAAAAAAAACCCTAACTTACCTGTTGTATGCTCTGAACTGCATTTCTTTTCAAAGCTAAATTATGAAATTATTGCCTAAAATGTTTTTCTGTGACTGCAGAGCTGACAGGTGAACCTCACCTGACGAGAGCCTGATCATCAAAGTTTGTAAAAAAAAAAAAAAAAAGTGTAAAACAAATTGAGAATCTTTCTTGCTTTATTCTTTTTTTGTTTGTTTTTACCAAATGAACATTTTCTTAGTATAAATAAATTTGTGCTAAGTCAACTTGTCCTCTAAAATTAAAGGGATAGTTTGCACATTTTGGATTTTGGACTTTGTGAAAAAGTTTATAAATGTTGAATATCTTACCTGTTCAGCTTTTTGAGCGAAATCAGTTTGGAGAAAAAGACCAGACTGATGAGCCGGTTCAAAGAGCTATCTACAACAGGTAAGATATTAATTGTTCAATTGTTCCTTTTCACAGAGCCCCAGTATAAAGGATCAGAACCACCCCTTCATAACGATCTCTGACTAAAGAACATTTACTATTATTATTTTTTAAATATGAGCCAACCTGTTATGCAACTGAAATGGCACTGTCACAAGAAAGAGCTACACTTTGTATAAAATAAACAGACTCTAGCTTTCATACACTGACATTCTAAATTAATTTTTCACGCATAATAACGAAGGAAAACAAACTTTAGCAAATAAATATTTTAACAACTGTGTTGCAGATCCTGTTGTTGAGCAAAGTAGCAACCTTAGAGGTGAGATTAAAAAAAAAAATCTGTTTAAATCTGACGACACTGAATGTTTTTAAGAAGGAATCTCATGAAACGCTTTAAATTTCCAAATGCTGGATAACTTCACAAATCGTCAAGATGATAAGAGCTCCAATCTGTTGATCTGGAAGAAATGATCTTTCATTTAAAAATGTATTACTGGTATATAGGTTTCTTGTACATTATTCTAGATCATTTTGTTTATAACATAACCTGCAGCTGAATTTGTGCCACCCACCTTTTAATTTACTGCGTATAATTAGTTATTGTTTTGTATTTCAATACCATTTACAGTACGTGTGGATTATATGTGAACAATATACAAACAGATATAATTGTTTTTTCTACTTTAGGTATTACTTCAGCAACCTCACATGTGATATTAACCCGTAAGCACCAACTACCTCAGATGCTGTAAAGTCTGCGTCCGTTGGTGCAGGACTCATGTTCACAAAGCACACCAGACCTTTGCAGGGTCGGACCAGAAAGGGGACCAGCCCAAATGTTTCGGCATTCCAGGAAGCAAACAGAGTGTTGTTACAGTGAACACCATCAAATGCTGTGGAGTTGTAGTTTGGCTGATAGATGGATAAAACCCATGCATCACCTATGGGTGAAAGAAAGAAAAATACTTATCTAAATAATTCAGGCAGCAGAATGGGATCTCTGATTTTTTCCATCCTCACCCAGCACAGTTCAAATAATAAGTAGACCTAAAAGGCTCTGAATGCTCCCAGGTACTCCTGTAGCTGAGCAGGATCCTCCTCACAGGGGAGAGCCATGAGTGATAATAAAAGCAGGGGAACTGCTGAGGAGATTCCAGGAAGTACACAACCCCTGCCAGCAGATGGCCAGGTCCGACATTGTCATTCAAACAGAAACATGTTGAGTGAAAGAAAAGAGCTGACCGACCGAAGAAAACTCGAGCCACAGAAAGGACAATCCAGATAATTACTGTACAACTGCAGCTGTGACGATGGGAAAAGGAAATGTCACGTCTTCATTTGAGTTTAAATCGTAGCAAATACAGCTCCTCAACCAATAAACTATAAATAAAAACATCAAAGTTCATGCTCAATAATCCAGGTACAAAATCCAACAAAGTTCAGTCAGGTCCTCTGGACGGTTTCTTTTGTTGTTGTTGTGAAAACGTTTCGTCCT